CTTGTTATTTTCCCATTTCCCCCCCATCTTACCTTACTTTGCCCGTAGGTAATTAATAATCCAGTTATTGTCTCTTGATTTATTTAGCCTGGATTTCATATACAGGAAAACATAATAAACATAAAGAGGAAGCAAGCAAAACAAACAAATAAAAACCCAACAACAATGACTAGGTGAAACACAGAAAAACTTAAAAAGAAAGCAGAAAATAATAAAACTGAAGAAACTTTGAAACGGGTCAAAAGGGAGATCAAATCACAATGTATTGCATTCTAACCTAACTACATCTGCCATAATTGACTTTCCCATGCTCCCTGTCTGATAACAAGCCTATTCATATCCCTTAACTGTGGTCAGAGGGGATGCAGATGAGGCTTCATCCATTGTGGACGCTGTAAATGGATTTTGGGTCTCCGCTGTCATCCATTGCCTTCTGTAAACCAGGTGTTCACAATTTAAGCTCTGATACCATTTCCTTCTTTGGATATGTATTGATTATTTACAATACCTGGATCACAAAAGCTGGTATGTTTCTTCTATGTAAACTTAGCCGATGTCTCATTTATATGGCTGCTTGTTTTAAGACAAGTCGTTAAGATGTCAGGCACTATTTTCTCTAGTAACCAGGCACCATCGAGTTCCTTTACTATGGCACCCATATCTTCAGTGATCTTTTGAGGGAGAGAAGGGAGTAGAGCTATGTTAAAGAAAAGAAAAATTGCATTTGTACAGCAATGGTTTATATACATCTCTGGTTCACTTTAGAGGCATGATTAGCATTCTATGATAGAGAACATTATAATTCATCCCTTGAGACATAAGGTGATTCTATTGGCAATGTCATTAATTTACCTAATGGTATAGAATTTAAAACACTGTTGAGAAAAGGAAATTATATAAGCATAGACGTGTTTCAGACTGCAATGCATGTTATGGTGCCTTTTGTGTAACCAGACATTGATGTGCTCTATACTGTCTGCATAATGGGTTGAAGGTTGGGCTTTGTGGTCTATATGATTCTATTGGCAAGTTTTGAGAAGTATATTGTCAGACTTCCTTCCTATTTTGTCTTAGTGAGAAAACTCCACTGAAACCTCTTCAGATTCATTTCATATAAGCCTTTACTGAAATACAGGTAGTGCTTGTGCATAAAGCACATTGGTTGGAAATTGAACCCTCCTCTTTTACTTGGAAGACAGAAATTCTAACACTGGCCTGCCGCTAAGTAAACCAGCTGCCACCAATTTGGAATCAGTTGTGGGGAGCCTCAAATTGTGATTAATGAAGAACCCACATGTGTCAGAGTGGAACAGTGTTCTATAAGGGTTCCAATGGATAATATTTCCGTATATTATCTGGTCTTTCTTTTGAGGCAATTGTATGTTATTTTTATCATATTCCTTAGAAATAATCAAAGGTGTGTTTTAGTATGAATAGCCATGGAACAGAGACCCGACCCTATGGAGCACATATGAACTCTGACACACATTGGGTCACCATGAATTGGACCCAATGCAGGTTACCCATGTAGAAAAATACATTGAATAGTATTTGTAGAAAATCAAAGATATCTTATAAAAATAGAATTATAGCACTTGACTATTGTTAATATTCTAGGGATTTGCATTTTACATGTGGCAAGCTCTTTTAATTAAGTGCAGATTTTTATGTTTTATTTAGTCAGAAATGAAATTCCAGCTATTTTCTCTGACTAATTAGGTAATATTTTCTGCAATCACTACTGTCATAATTTTGTATTAGCTTAGAAGCATTAGAAGCAACTTTTGCCTTGTTGAGTCAAAGAAATATTGTAATATTTTAATGTTATCTGTTTAGTTATAATGCTGCACAGAGCAGAATTGATTGGATTCCTTCCTTAATTCACTCAAAATGTTCAATTAAGCCCCAAACAATGGTAAATATGTGAAAGAACAAGTGCAGTTAGGTGACAAGGTATGTGAGTTGTCATGTATGCAGTTTAGGAAAATCACCAGCAAAAATTAATAGCTTTGTTAATTATCAGTTGATACAATTGAGAGATCAGATAAAGTACAATGTAGTTGAAAATTCTAAAACCAGACTTCCTGATTTTAAATCTTGATCTACGTAATCTTAGCCATGTTACTTAACCTCTCTGTGTTTTTGTTTCCTTATCAGTAAAATGGATATGAAAATAGAACCTTTTAGAGTTACTGTGGATATTAAATGAATTTATACATGTAAAGAATCTAAAATATTTAGAATGAGTACAAAGTAAATATTATTGGCAATTTATTTTTATATTACATAATCTCATAAAGCCAAGATATATTTACATCAGTTTTAAATATAACTGTGGTGCAAATCTTAAATTTATGACTGTAGTCGCATGCCTGCCTAACATGTTTGTACAATGTTTTCATAAATGTTTAATATCATACTGCTATTATTAATGATATAAAAATAATTAATTATTAACAATAATTAATAATACTGTGTTGTCACCATTAAATGCTGCATTGTCATTAAGATTTAAGTCTGTTGGGCACAAGGATCATAGCTATACTCCTTAACAAGCACGTTTTAAAAATATATATGTATGAGATTCCAAGTAAATATAGCTGACATATTAGTATAACTGAGGTTGCTCTAATAATAGCTGTAACATCTTATGAAACTTAAGTCAAGTTCTACCTCCTCCCTTTCACTTTTGATTTCAGAGGAATTTTGAAATATGAAGAAGGGCAACAATGGGGTCTTTTCCTTTTAACACATTTTTGTATTGTACCATTATGACTTTATCCTTACCACGTTAGTACGATTTTGTTTTTCATCAATCTTTGTTGAGTCTTCCAGTTGTGAACCACACGAGTGGATGCATAATTATTATAATTGATAAAAGGGGATACAGGAAGTACAGGGTGAGGGTGGGTGTTAAGGGAAATGAGATTTCAAGAGTAAATAATGAAGGCAGGAATGTGGAGGGAGCATCAGAATGGACTGTGATTGCATAACTCATCTTAAAGACTATGTAATGGTGTGTGTGTGTGTAATGCTCTAAAACTGATGTAATGATTGTACAATTCTCCTTGATATTGAACATTTGAACTGTTGTATGATTTATAAACTACGTGCCAATAAAACTGTTGGAAAAAAGAAGGGTGGACAATTTTTTTAAAAGGTTGACCAAGAATATTGTGATCATATGAGAATATTTCAGAGGTCTCTTTTTCCATGTACATTAATTTATTTTTACTATATAGTTTAGATTTATTTTATATGTCATTGTTTAATAAAAATCATTTTATTGGGGGCTCGTACAATTTTTATCACAATCCATACATACATGCATTGTGTCAAGTGCATTTCTACATTTGTTTCCACATCATTCTCAAAACATTTGCTTTCTACTTGAGCCCTTGATATCAGCTCGTCATTTTTCCCCCTCCCTTCCCACATGTGGAATTATTTTATTTGTAGAGTATTTTCAATTAGATCTAGAATTTCCTAAGAACATTTAATACAGTATATACTTTAAGAACATTTCCATTATTCATTTCAGAAAATAATCTACTTTGCATACATTCTTAAATTTCTATTCTAAATTTTAAATTGAGATACTATGATAGTTGTTTTAGAGATTTCTTCTTTAATCAATATATATATATAAAATTTTATTCTGCTTTTCATTTTAGGACCAGAGTTTTGGTTAAGCAAGAAAAGAGAAAGCAAAAGGTAAGGATAAAATGTTTTTGTATTATCCTATGAGAAACAGCAGTCTACTGAAGTAGTTTTTCAGGAGTAATAAATCCATTTATATGAAACCGAAGGGACATCTTCTCTAGTCTTCTTTATCTTTGTAGATGGCTTGATTGGCTATCCATTTTGTTCAGACAGACTTAAAAGTCATTGTGGATTTCTGTGACCTTTTAAATTTCAAAATATAGCCAAAATCTAACCACTTTCTATTGCCTGCCCTGTTTTGAGATTTAACTATTTATGGTAGTATACAGTCATGTCTTTGTCCCATGGAACAATTGCTGGTTTTGAACTGCTGATCTTGCAGTTACCAGCCTAATGCAGAACCACGATACTATCGGGGCTCCTAAAAAAAGACAAAGGGGTGATTATTATGAAAGGGAGAATAGTTGTTTATTTAGTGAAATGATGCTTCATTATAATTTTAGTTTTCTACTCCTTGATAAGGAACTCTGGTAGCAGTGGTTATGCATTGGACTGCTAACTGAGGTCTGTGGTTCGAAACTGCCAGCGGCTCCATGGGAGAAAGACGGGATGTTCTGTTCTCATAAAGAGTTACAGTCTTGGAAACTCGCAGGGGAAGTTCTACCTGGCTCTATAGGCTCACAGCAAGTTGACATCTACTCAGTGGCAGTTAGTTTGAGTTTATTTCCTTGATTACTAATGAGGCTGATTCTGTTTTCCTCTCTTGTAAAGTTTTTTCCCAAGTCTGGTGTCTACTTTGGGGTTGTTGATCTTTGAAAAACATTCTAAAATGCCCTGAGAATTCTTTATCATCTCCCTGCCTCAATTTCTTTCCATTGCTTTTAGAATAAAATCAGTTTAGCCATAACATGAGGACCTAAAGGATCTGTGCTGTTCGTGTCTCTGATCGTATTTCTTACTACTTGACCTCTTTGTTCAATGCCTTCCAGTCACACTAACCTTTTTGTCCCTCTTGCTTGCCCTGTTTGCAATATTCTCTTTCAAGATATTTGCATGAGTGACTTGTCAACACTTGGGATTCAGTTTATATATTTTCTTCTCAAGCTGGCTTACTCTGAACAATACTAATAAATAGCTCCCTATGCTGAAGTTAGTCTCTACTCTGTCACACCCTTAGACATTTTGTATCACTCTTTTCATAATTGGGAGAAAGACAGGGCTTTCTACTCCTGTAAAGTTACCATCTTGGAAACGCACAGTGGCAGTTCTACCCTGCCCAATAGGGTTGCTATGGGTTGCCATCCACTCAATGGCAGTGAGTTTAGTTTGGTTTTTATTTATCATTATTGGATATTTTCTTATAACTTTATAGGAAGGTTATAAGGTTTTTACTTATCATTATTGGATATTTTCTTATAACCTTATTCTTTCACCTTTCCTCAGCAAATACAAAGTTAAATGAGAATAGGATCTCATTAATTTTGTTAACTCTATCTTCTGTGCCTAGAATTTTATCTAATAATAGTATGTTGTTGTTTGTGGCTTTGAGTTGTCTACTGACTCCTGGTGACCCTGTGTATTATGGAGGGATTACTGCCTCGTCCTAAACCCCCTTACGGATCAGACTGTTATGATCTATAGTATTTTCATTGGCTGATTTTCAGAAGTGCATCACCAAACCTTTTTTCCTTAGTCTATCTTGTCCTAGAAGGGCCACTGAAATGTATTCAGCCTTCTAGCATGTTGCAAGCCTCCACAGCAGAGGGGTGATATCAGCACATGAAGCGCTTTGACCAGGAAGTGATTCAGGTCACTCCCATAATGAATGATAACGATGTGAAATTCTAATTTCTTTATTTAGATGAACAAACAAAATCAGACTAACTATAAATCATGGAGAGATATTAAAATGAGTTAAATTGGCAGTGTAGAAGAACCACTTTGTTTGCAGGTTAGATCTTACATCATAGTTTTCCCCTTCTCCTGTCAGTTGGCTTTTAATGGATCTTGGCTCTGTATGTTTAAAGCTTTTTTAAACATTTGTAACAGCATACTTCGTAGTACAACAGCTGTCTGATTGTGAAATTTGTTTTTTTGTTATCAGATTTTATTTTAAACTTTCAGCAGATAATTTCTAATCTTACAGGACATGGGACTAGTTTTAAAATTTTGTTTAAAGATATTTTAGCTAAAGAAAGATTGGAGGGGCTGTGAGATGTAGAGTCTTAAGAGAAATTATAATGTATTGCAATTGATTATAGGTATTATATGATACCTATATAATAGGAAGGTGGTGTCACAAAGCATAAAGATGCAAGTAAATGATGTAATAGCGTTATTGATACTTTGTTATTTAGGTTTCTACCAAACTATAGTTTGTGACAATAATTTTTACATTTTTTAATTATTCTAGGAATATTTTGAAAAGAAAAGGTTAAAATCAAAAATGAAGTTACTGGGTGTTTTATCCCCTGCCAAAAATTCCACTGTCAGTTTAGATCTTCTTAATCTATACATAGTAAACCAGATATCATGCAAGAAGGAAACGCCTGGTAAGTCCATAGTACATTATTTTGACACTAATGCAGTCCTTATTTAAGGTAGCTTTCTAATAAGGTTATAATCTTAGGAATCATAGCATTTGGAAATTAAGTTAATTTTAAATCTCAATTACCCCTGTAAGTTAGTAGCTAAATTAATGTTTGCTTAAAATTTTCTGGATTTTAATGGATTTCTTTTTATTTTAAGGTATGTCTATATATAACTACATCAAATTAATTTTTCAAGATGTTAAATTTACTAGAGTGAACATTAATTATATTCTTCCATGTAGGTAGGCAGATGTCACCAAAGTTTAGCCAAAGATCAGGGTATAAACATCTTTACTACTTATATCTTATTCTAATTTTATAGAATTTATTCTAAGAGAGATGCTGAAATGATTTTCATATCAGCGATTAGCTTCTTATTACACACCTTGAATTACTTCTTAGACACTCCTGGAATGTTAACTAAAGCAATTTAATACTTCATAATAATAAAGTATTTTGACATGTACTATAATTCAAATAAATAAAATGTTTAATCGGTATATTTATTTTTTCTTTCTCAAAGAATTTGCATGTGATAGTGAATCTTTAAAATAAATCATAAAAGAAGAATTTATAAAATAAGACAATGTATCAAAAGGGTTATAAATTTATCATAATATTGTTAGTATCTCCTCATTTACTTTCTCTGCCAGTTTTTTCTCTCCCTTCACTGATGAAAATGTGCACAAAAAGATGAGCTATTTTAAAATTAGAGTAAATGTATTATTTGTAGACTTTGAGAATAAAAATGTTTTTGTTTCAAACATATTAGTTATATTTACCGTCACTATTATTTTTTCCCTTTACTTTCTTGTCACTCATTCATTCAGCATGTACCTTTTGAATACCTTCCCTGTGTACAGAATTTGACTAAGTCACAATGTACTGCTGCTAAGTTCACATACGCCCTATAAGGTTGCTATGAGGTGGAACCCATTCAGTGTCAGTGAGTTGGATTTGTGATTTTTACTTCAGATGACTACTCCTAAACCAATAATTTTGTCCAGAGAGACAAAGATAGAAAGTACAAATGCGATAGAAAGTGCACACTCAAACCAAAATCTGCTAATTGAGTTGGATATAGATAATATTTCCCAGAAAATGAAATGAAGTAAATGTACTGAATAGACAAAGTAATTAATTAAGTACAATTAAGTGTGTTAAGTTCTAGAATAGAGAAAATGCCTGGTATTGTGGGAAGTATAATATAGTACCTGGTATTATCCAGCAGTCAGGGAACTCTTAGAGGAAGGAAGAAAGAAGTAGTACTCAATGGTAATGCCTCTTTTATAAGGTCAATGTAAGATTATGAAAAAAAGATTTTAAAATTTTCTGTGATGGTTTTTGGTACTGCAATGCCGAAAACATATACATATATGTATGTATGTATAAAACATATTTCAGTAAAATTTTTCAGTGGCACGTTTATTTAGTGAACATTATATGCCAAATAGCACTTAAAAAGACTTATTTATTCATATTTGATACTATAATTACATATTTTTTATTATAGAAACTGTGAATAAACCAGTCCATGTCAATATGAACGGAAGCATAACAGTGTCCTCAAGGAAGCATGATTTAGAACTTCCAATGTCACCTAACTGCATTCCATCTAAGCTTTGCATTGATGATACAGAAAACAAGTAGGTTGAGCTAAGTGTTAAAATAGTAGGTTTTCACAACACTTTGTTTATTGGAAATTATTTAAAGTGCTTACCTTCTGGGTCCATTTCTTGTTTGTTTTTTAACTGTATTATAAAATTAAGACTTTAATCAAATGACTGGCCTACTCTTGATACTCTAGACGGTTTGATTTCCCTTCTAAGAATTTTTGTTTTATTAATATAATTTTTATGAAATGTACAATATTATGACATGTCATCTATATTTTTAACTAACTTTTTTTTACACTAGCATATACTTTCAAAGACTAGGCAACAAGAAAGAAACTGGCTCAGTTCAGGTGAGATTGCTATTATGATTATTATTTAAATTTTTGTATTTTACAGCATCCACTGTCTCCCTTCATCCACATTTCTGTTGCTCATCTCCCTAGGGTGGGGGGAGGGGGTGAATGTCAATCACTGCAGTTGGTTCCCCCTTTTCCTCCTAGGTGAGATTATTTCTTAGAACTGTAATATTACACATTATTATAGCAACTGTGACATGCCACTGAGTATCTAAAATTTTGAATACTGGGGAAAATTAATAGTACATTTTGTATAATTCTTACAATCTTTAATTTAAAAATAAACTTCAAAGTAAGGAGCATGCCTTCAGAGCATGGTATTAGGTTGCTCATGAGAAACATAAATGTAGACCAGTCTTATATTTGCATGACAGTTGATTCTGTTGGTATATGCTGAGCTCCAAAGAGCCATTTACTGGGGGATTCTTTAAGGCACATGATTGTTGAGCAGTTAATTCATCTCTTCAAAGAAACTGCACAGAATATTCCATTATATATCAAATTATGATGTTCAATCTTCACATTAGTTTCCAGGTTTTTTTATCACTTTAAAATGTAGCAAATTAAATTTGCATTGATTAGAGGATGCATAGATTGTGAATAGAAGCTTGAAATTTTGTTTAAAGTCCAATACTGTTTTACTATTATCTCTTTTCTTGGAATTTCTAGAGCAAGACTAGGAAATTATATTAATCTTTTGTACATCCTTTTCTGTATTAAAATACATGAGTTTTCAGTGGATGGAACTCAGATTTCTTATCATTTGGAGATGATTATAATATGCAGGAGCAGACTTTTGAGGATTGAAGGAAGCATAATTGGATAAGGGCAGATAGAAAAAGTTTAAAAAAAAATTAAATCATTTTCTTAGGAGCTTGTACAGCTCTTATCATAATCCACACATATATCCATTGTGTCAAGCGCTTTTTATACATTTGTTTCCCTCATCATTCTCAAAACATTTGCTTTTTACTTGAGCCCTTGGTATTCGCTCATTTTTCCCCTCCCTCCGTGCTCCCCTGCCTCCCTCCCCCATGAACCCTTGATAACCTATAAATTATTATTATTTTGTCATATCTTACACCATCCAATGTCTCCCTTCACCCATTTCTTTGCTGTCCATCCCTCAGGTAGGAGGTTATATGTAGATCCTTGTAATCTGTTTCCCCTTTCTCCCTCACCTTCCCTCCACCCTCCTTGTTATTGCCACTCTCAGCATTGGTCCTGAAGGGATCATCTGTCCTGGATTCCCTGTGTCTCCAGTTTCTATTTGTTGTACCAGTGTACATTCTCCAGTCCAGCCGGATTTTTAAGGTAGAATTGGGATCATGATAGTGGCAGGGAGGAAGCATTCAAGAACTAGAGGAAAATTGTATGTTTCATCATTGCTACACTGCACCCTGACTGGCTTGTCTCC